ACACTAAGGGGCTCTTGCTTCTCTTTTTTTGTAGTACTTTGATGTCTTTTTGCTGAAAAGTGCAGTATAAATTAAATGTGTTATTATTATTTATTATTGCTATGCTTCTTGCCACTTTTAATTGAAAATTTTTTTTCTATTTGAGGTTTCCAACTTAGATCATGACCTAAAATCACGCCCAGAAATGCATATTGATTAACTTTCTCAACAATAATATTGTTTATTTGAACATTTACTTGAATGTCGGTCATTTGCCAAAGATTATAATTTTAGTTTTAGAAATGTTCATGATAATTTATTATTAATGAAAAATATTTTATTATCAAAACCATTGTTCTAACTTGTTTAATTCTGTTGAGATTTCAGTCATTAGGAGCTATAGATCTTTCCCTGAGCTGAGTATGCGTCGTCTTCAAATAATGTAAACATACATTTTGCTGAGCTATGACAAAGGTCGTTTATATATAATAAAAACAGTTTAGGGCCCAACATTGATCCCTAAGGCAAATACATTTTGTGAACTGAGTTTTGACAAAACTATTAGTAGATTGGAGACTCAGAAAATCTTTTACCCTTAAATAGAGGAGAGCCACATAAGACATTAACTCCTCATTGAGGTCAAAATAAGTTAGAAAAGTATATAAATAATGTTGATCAATGTGCTATAAAAGAAGCCATCTGCTTGCTGCACGTAAAGCATTGCTGTATTGATGGTTTTTGGGTTCTATTTCTCTGTTTTCAGCCAGCAGCCTTTAAAATTGTTCCTACTCTTTGAAAAACATTTTTTGGGAAAATACTATTAATACTTTGGGTCTTTTCAGAAACCATAAGTTTGAAACCTCTGTCCCAGTAGCCTTCTTTGTCTCTCTCCCCTCTGACTTTAGTCTCCTTCTTGTTGTGAACTTATTCCATGTACTGGCAGGGTAAACTGCTTGACCTTGATTTGAATTCAATTAACACTTTCTTTTATTGTCCTAACACGCAGCCATTTTGGAGTGTGTTCACTGAGCAATATATGACAGTCTGAAAGGTATTTGTTTAAATAAAACAAACCCACTATATGGGCTAAAAATTATAAAGTTATTGCATAAGAGAGCTGGTTATGCCTATCTGATGTTATACTTGTAGTTTTCTCCATTAGGTCACATAGTCAAAAAAGCTATTTTAAATAGTAGTGCATAAATTACACATCTTGCTAATGCACCTTTTCTGTAATAATATTACAAAAGGAATCCCTTGATACTAAGAAGCTTCTCCTATACTTCCACTTTACATTACAAACATAACTGTTTTGAAGTATATATACCATTTTTAGGTTTAGTTCAATCTCTAATTTTTGCATGTCTTCTGTTCAAGGCTTTTAAAGCTGATGGTAATAAGAATGTTTTTCATTTCTATTCCTCTCTGTCATAATTTCACATCCTGTTATACACTGAGCATTGTTCAAGAGGTTAACTAGACTAATTAGTCTTTAGGTTTCTGTCCTTCATAGAATAATGGGACAGGAAAGTGTAGGTTTAAAGTTTTTTTTTTCCTGCCAAGTACATTTACAGAAATACATATCTAAGAACATAGACAGTGTGCAAAGACTATTACAAGACTGTCTCCATTTGTAGGCTGCCCATACCTGATGTAAGACATCATATATATGTTTGGGTTTTGACGTTCCCTCACAATCTTCCAGAATGGTTTGTGACTTTTGACTAAAAGAATACTATTCAGTTTCCCTCCATGAACTGCTCTATTGGTTCCCATTTATTATTATCTGGTTGTTTTATACATTTATGCAAAACAAGAAAACGTCTGTAAAATGATAAAGCTTAATTTTAGTGATGCGTAGACCTTTACTCCATAGGTCCATGTTCTTTCCTTTAATGATAGATGAAAACCTGCCCCACTAGAGGGTGGTGTTGTCACAAATAAGAAAATCCCTGCTTAAAGAGAGTGTCAAGACGGTTAACTAATAAACATGCATCTAACTCCCTGCTGCATTCACTGATCTATGTTTTCTGTTCTATGGCCAATAAAAAGATTTTTTTCCATTTTTAAGGACTTGTTTCATTATCAGTCACTGTTAGTGCTTCCATTCTAATTCAGGGAAAAACACCCAACTGATTTCTGAGGTGTCACAGCATGGTTTAGATGCGTCACCCTCAGATCTCATCTTGGCTGAGACAGAATTGATCATTGGACCTCAGCCACAGCAGTTAATGGAGGCAACCAGCTGTACGCCACTAAGATGGGCTGTTATGAATAAAGATTGATAGAAAAACATTTGTCTCTTCAATACATTCCATCCATTAGGTGAGAACATGGATGACACACTTTAATAGTTGCAGCTCAATATTTTGTTCATATTTCTTTTTCTTTAAACTGTCCAGCTGCAACGTTGGAAGAGAAAGCAGCATACCATCACTAAAGATTTTAAGGCTTGATAAAGGAACATGTGATCTATTCTTTGAGCTCTGATTTGAAGTATTCTTGTACATTTATTTGAAGTGTTAAGGTGGAAGATGTAAAACTATATTAAAAAGGGAAATTAATCATACCCTCCTGCAGATACCTTTTGAAGAAAGTTGTTTGGGATTTCTTGATCAAAAAAGTAAACAGTCTGAAGAGTAAAGTCTTGCTCTAAATCTGCATTTTTATAGAATAAGAAGAATATACTATAGAAATAGATTTATCAAAATCACAAAACTGCAAATAAAGGGCTAGGCTCAGGTCCACTGATGTTAGGCTTACAGCCAAACTAACATGGCAGGGCATAAATCGAAATCAGATTAGGATTAGGCATGAAGCCTATTGATGTTAGGGTAGCTAACATGGCAAGGTGATATGATCTACTTATCTTTTATAAATACATAGGTGCTTATCATCAGTGAATGCTAGTTTAATGGCTTATCTGTAAATCATTAATGAATGGTCTCTTTACCATTTATAAATCATGGTAAAAATAGTTATTGTATAGTGTTTTTTTTTTCTTTGCGAAACTGCGACAGCCATCAGTGCTGGATCTAGAAATGATTTATGACAGAAGGAATGCAATATTTATATGATTGATTTATTCATTTAGGAAATAGATGAAAATAAATAGTTGTAGGTTAATCAAACACTTCACAAGCAAATACATGGTTGCAAAACTGAAATGATTCTAAGAAAGAAAAACATCATTCAGAATATTTTTTTATTGAATTGAATCCATAAATGAAAACTAACGTCACATTTCCAATTGATCTTAAACTTATCCTATTGATTTCAACAGACTTTTTTAAATTTTGCAACAAACAAAACATTTACAGCCATAAATTGTTGGTAATGAAAAAAAAAATAAAATCTGATCACTTGTCTGCACAAGAAAATGCTGCAGGCTATAACATTTTAAAGGTAATGTTTGTGTTCATATATATGATCAACCCATAAAACTATACATAGTTCGCATATGACTTCACATATTACATTTCTTATTAAGCACCATGTTGATATGCAGAATCGCTTTAGAAATAGCTAAGTTCTTCTACTGAGGATTATTAAAAAAAAATTCACCATTTACAAAGATTAGTTTTTTTATTTCATGCAGAGTGAAAAGGATTTTTCAGTCAGGCAAAAATCAGAAAACATTAAGGACCACAAATGTAGGAATAGAGTATTGAACATTGGCAACTGTGCCGTTAATAGCAAGATTTAGCCATTAAATCAGGAAAAATCACGGATCACTTTCATGTCAGTAATACAAAATAAGGGTTTGCAAATATACCATTCCTTTTGTTAAGTGTCAGCTTTTGACTACATATATGTGTAACAGGGACATGGAGACTTACAGTATATGTATGCTATGTTAATGACTTAGTCTGTGAGCAATCTGAACCTTGTTGATAACACGAAGAGTTTAGATGTACTTTGCAGGTGTTTAATTAATGGTTGTATGCGTCTGCAGATTTCAGGCTGTGAAGCTCCTCCATTGTTTAGCATTCTTTACTAATTAACTGTCATTATAAGAGACAAGAGACAATTTGTGGTTTACTTTGAAAGCAACATTTATATTGATGTATTGTTATCTATGGTCAAGAGTATCATTATAGTTCCTTTTTGTTTATCTATAAGCCATGATGATAGTGGTTGCATAATGCGGTCTTGCATACCAAGAGGGTGTTTGAAAGACTTCCATTTCATACATTAGTGAACTAGGTACTGCTCATTTTAATTCATTCCTAGAATCAGTTAGATCCAGAATCTGATCTTTGTCTAACAACATAATGGCTGACATCCTGATTGATGACGATCGTGGTAATTACAATTTCCATCAGCTCAACTGTAGATAGATTTGAAGAAATATAAATAAAAACATTTGGAAGGATAAAACAAACATGTGTCATTGTAATAACTTCAGGTATATACAATCTGTCCTGAGCAGTGAGTGGCTCCATGGCCGAACAGAAACAGGAAGGGGCAGCAGCCATAAAATAACCAACATTAACAAAACCACTAACCAGATGACAAAGTAGCACCATAAAGGCAGCTGATCTATGAGCAGTGAAGAATATAACAGCTATGAGTTATCAGCTGCAAAGAGGAAGACTAAATAAACTAAAACATGGATTGTAACCATCTGGGCATCAGATAGGCTTTTTCAGTTTAACAAACTCAGCAGACGAACCTTCAAAAAGCCAAATCCCAGCATGTAGAGGCTGAGTGAATGTGGTCTGGACTCTGCGGAGGAGAGTCATGGTTTTAGAGACGCTGTAGAAAGACAGAATACCTGCTCTGTGATCCAGGTACACTCCTAGAGTGGACGAAATTGGACCTGGGACTGTAGTAGGGAGTTTGTTTTGATAAAATGCACAACAGTTTTTGTAACAATATAATGACCAGGATTTATCATTGTATAAAAATAAGCTTTTCTCTGACTTTCCATCTCTCCTGATATTCTTGTATGAAACAGCTACAACAACCCCTCCCCTCCACTTCACCTCCCAGTAACAACGTCCAGTCAGACTCTCTCTATTGAGGACCTGATTGTAATTAATGAATCTGTCTGGATGATTAGGATATGACTGTTGTTCTTTAGTTGTTGTTACCTTTGTGTTTTCCTCAGACAATAACATATATCTGTTAACTGTGTTTGGGTCCAGTGTGATTTCTTGTGAATATTTTAGGAATCCAGGTCTTGTCCTCGGTTCTGGTTTTGACATTAAAACATCCTCATCAGTGAGTTTGAGGGAGATGTTTGTCCATGTGTCTCTCAGGATGTCCTCTAGTATGTCTTTGAGCTCTAACACAGCTGCTGTCACATCCTCAAAGTTTATCTGAGGACGAATATTGATGGTTGGGTATGTAGAGACACTGAGTGCTGACAGTGAGGGGTAGTTCTGGAGAAATTGGGCGTGATCCTCTGTGTTTGAATATTGCTGCAGCTTAGCATATTTCCTCTTCAGCTCAGTGATCTCCTGCTCCAGCTTCTTCTGAAGCTCTTTGATTCGACTCACTTCAGTTTCCTGTTGGGATCTGATCTGCTGAGTCACATCATATCTTCTTCTTCGGAGGAGATGGATTATCCCAGAAATTATCTTCTCATTGTCCTCCACTGCTCTATCAGCAGAGACATTGATGGTCTCCACCTCCTGTTGAAGCAGCTTCACTTCTTTGTCTTGTTCCTTGATTCTCTGTTTGAGTTGTTGTTGACTCTCCCTGAGTTTCCTTTGCTTTTCGGTCCTTTCTGTCGTGATTGGGACTGTTTCATGGTCTTTATGCTGACCACTAAGGCAGAGATAACAGATACACTGCTGATCAGTACGACAGAAGATCTTTTTCATCTCATGTTGACAAGAGCAGTTGTTCTCTTGGAGATTCCTGGAGGGGTCCACCACCTTGTGCTTCTCAAAAGCAGGTGATTCTTCTTTAGGTCCAGCAAAGCTGTTATTAGTTGGAGAAGCTTGGAGTTCAGTATTGATTAGATCTTCCCCTAAAGGGGTTAATGTGCCGCTTTTCTCCACCACAGGCGTCGATATGAACTCTTTCTTGCACCGAGGACAGCTGTAGATCCCCCTCTGATCTCGATTCCATAAGTCTTGAATGCAGGTCCTACAGTAGCTGTGTTCACAGGGAATAGTCACTGGATCCTTCAGTAGATTCAAACAGATGGCACAAACTAGCTTCCCTTGGGCTACTTGAACTCCTGTCGGCTCCATTTCACCAACTGTGTCACTTTCTCTGCAGAACAACAAAAACTGGTTTGAGCTCAGGTGTAGCTATGAGCTTTCTCCTGGAAGCCTCTGTGGTTCCACCCATTATGTAAACCAGAGAGGGAGGGAATTAGTACACTTTCAGCTGAACTCTACCTGCTAATCCCTGAGTATGTTTCTAAATCTGAGAGAGTTCTCAGCTCCTTTATTGTGCATGTGCATTTTTTATTTTCTATTTCATTTAAATTATAATCTTATCTGTGACAGTCAGTTAGTTTAGCATGCTATCCACAAAATATGAACAAGGATGTCAAATTTACATCTAAAATGTTTTAGTTAGATAGAAGTAAAATAAAAAAAACTCAAACACCATGTTTGCCTTATCTGTATTTTATATTCATGCAGGCTGCATGTGTGACCAGTAATACCAACAAACTGCCCCTTAATAAGTTATGTTAATTCTAATAGTAGCCCACACTTTTAAAAAGTTTAAAAAAAATAAGCCACTGACTTGCCAAGTGAGGGAATATGTTTCATTCATGCGGATGGACTCAGGAATAAGGAATAGTTTTTTAAAAATTGTCTCACACTAGTCTGTGGGTCAGCATTTAGTTATTTCATAATCCTTTGTCCCTGAGATCAAATAGCAGAAATTAGATGACACTAAGTAAATACTACAAAGAAATTTTCTGGAAAACTACATAGAGCGGTTCTACATGTCATTGTTTCTTGGCTGAATAAAAAATAGAATGAGTATAGCCTATTCTCCAGGGACAACTACATATTGGTTGAGGGTTCTAAACAATGAATAAGCTATCAACTAAACAGCCAACTTTCCATATGTTTCCTGTTTGGTTTCACATAATCGGCACAAGTCCAGACAGGTGTGTCAGAAGGGCCTGAGGTAACAAGCGATCAGAAACGGTAGATTTCTGTCTAACTCACCTTTCTGCTTCTTCTTTTCTGCAATTTTCTTCCTCTGAGCAAGTTAAGCAATGAAGTCAGAAACCTGACTTCAGCACTGGTTGATAGTAACCTTCTCATAATAAGTCTAAAACCCAAAACTGTTGGATGTGTTATAACTCCATATGAAACACCATTAGAGACCACTGAAGAAAGTTTGTAGGCCAAAATCAAGGCAACAGTAGGGTGACCAGATGTTCTCTTTTTCCCGGACATGTCCCACTTTTCAGACCTAAAAAAAATGTCTGGGGGGGATTTCAAAATTACCGGGATTTTGGTCGACTACAGTGCAGCATGTAGTCAAAACACACCAGGCCCTCGAACAGAGCCGTCAGCTCCGGGGCTGGTCCCCCAACGGATGGGAGCAAGGAGCCAGTGGGGGATGGAGCAACCAAACCTGACCCGGTTACCGTGGCCTGGACACCTGCATCGCTGTGCTTCCTCCCGACTACCAGTCCACAGCCCCCCTCCACCGGCTGTGGACGGGCAGCTCATCGCTCTCTGCTGAGTTCCCGTCCAGTCAGGGGACCAGCAGTCGACACTTCCTCCTTTTGTGTCCTCCTTTTCAGAAACCCAAATCTGGTCACCCTAGGCAACAGGGAAAGAAGTAAACCAACTTGGAACTCCATAGGGGATCATATGGCAAAAGAATGCTGCAGGAATACCAACAGATGCCCCAGAAGCTGCAAAAAAAAAGACTCCAATCATCACAACAATGCACATTGGCTAAAAGACCTAAGAGCTGAACAGGCTAACATCCCTGAACAAGGTCCAGTGAACATCACAATGGCAGACCTCCAACAAAGACTCTCGGGTATGAAGAACTGGACAGCACCTGGCTCTGACACTATCCAAACCTACTGGCTGTAGCATCTAACTTCTCTCCGCAAACACCTAGCAGCACAAATGACCTGTCTGTTGAAGAGTGGGACCCCCCCTGAATGGCTGACTGAGGGCTGAACAGTCCTGGTAATGAAAGACCCCCAGAAAAGGACAACCCTAACCAATAATCTCTCCACAAAATGGAATCTCCTGTCAGGTATCATAGTGGCAAATATAAGCAGGCACATGGATCAACATATGTCTAAGGCACATAAAGGCTTTAGTAAAAACACCAGAGGAGCCAAACACCAACTGTTAGTCTATAGAGAAGACCCCCAAAACTGCAAAACCAGAAAAACAAACCCGCTCTGCACAGCATGTGTTGATTACAAGAAAGCTATGAGACTCACTAAGACTCAATGCCCCACACATGGATCCTGGAATGACAGAACCTGTACAAGATCACAGCAGTCTAAGAGCCTTCATTGCAAGGTTGTTAGTTTGCAGAAATTGTGGAAAACCACAACTTAAGCCAATTTCAACAATCTCCTTTCAAATGTGGAATGTACCATGGAGATGCTCTATCCCCCCTGCTGTTCTGCTGCCAAATAATCAACAAGACTAGCTTTGGAATCCTAAATGCGGCTGCTAGCCATGGATAGCAATGGATAGAATAAAGCTGTAGAGTCAGGGTGGAGGGGCACTGTTGCACAGGTAAACAACGTATATAGTCTCTGAAATGACTGCTCAGATTCAGCTGGCCATGAGATTGTGGTTACTCTATAAAAAATTTTATTTTATACATTTAGCAGACAATCCTTATGAAACTTACAAAGTAGGCCTAATGACTCATTCCCTCCAGCAGAGATTTGGACCCAGGGCTTCCTGTGTGCATGGCAGGTGACTCACCTGCTTCAGCTAGCCAGCCACTTATAAGGGGAAGTGAGATTGCTAAAACTGGAAGCTACTTTGCTATAGTTACGAATGAACCTGAGAAAGTAGTTGGCAAACCCAAGGAAGTGCTGATGTTGTTTGTGTGAGTTGGGAATGGGCCACTCTGCCATAGCTCTTATCTTGGCGGGATCTGGCTGAAGCTGACCTTTGGCAACTATGTAACCTAGGAAACTGACTGATGGCTGGTGGATTTCACATTCCTCTAGCTTCAGATATAACTTGTTCTCAGGGAGAAGCAGACGTGCTGTAGTGTACGTGAAAATATTAAAATATCATACAGATATAAATAGAGGTAATGAGTTAGCATTATGCCACACACATATGTACAGCAGTGGCGGTACAGACAGTGGCCAGGCTAGTGCTTAGCAGATCACAAGCGATCTATATGATAATGTACTATTGAAAATATGCTGCAGCTTTCAGAACATATAGTTACATTGTCAAAGCAAACACAATGACAAGATTTGGTGGTATGACTGTTTACTTTTTTTAAAATAGATGCATTTAGAACTACATACATAAACATAACTTTTTCATTACATCCCTGAGATGACATGTGTTGTGAATTGGCGCTATATAAATAAACTGAATTTAATTGAATTACTAACCCTAACCCGGTTCCCAACTGGCATAAGCCAGTTCTTAATTGGCATATACCATTGTTTCAAAACTGGCATGCCGAATATCACTTTTGGCCCTCACTCTCACTCGACATGGAGAGGAAAGGTAATCCACACAGGGCGGGTCACACTACCAGAAGGGAGAATAAGACATGTAGAAAGGAGCTACAAGTTTCTTGGAATAGCACAGGCAATTGGCAACCCTGAAGAGGCCACAAGGAGAGCAGCAAGAGCCAAATACTTGCAACAAGTAAAGCAAGTTTTGAGATGTCATCCCAATGGTGAGAGCAAGGTCCAGGATATCAACAGCTATGCCTTGCCAGTTATCAGGTACCCTGCTGGAGTAATAAGTTAGCCTAAGGAGGAAATTCAGGCCACTGATGTTAAAACACGAAACCTACTCACCATGCATGGTGGATGCCACCTCAAATCCAGTATCCACATACTATACACTAAGCGCAAAGAAGGAGGCAAAGGCCTAGTGAGCATCAGTGCCACCATTGAAGATGAAACATCCAAGCTCCACGAATACATCCGCACTGATCATGGCAGCAGAGAAGCAGGCCTTGGGCACCAAAGCAAAAGAGGGCAAGATCTACTATACCAGACAAGATCCCAGGTGCAGTCTATGCAAAGAGGTCCCTGGAACAATCCATCATCTCACAGCAAGGTGCAAGATACTGACAGGAAAGGAATACATGCAACCTCATAACCAAGTGGCTGGCATAGTGTACAAAAATATTTGTGCAGAATACTAACAGGAGACATCCAGGTCAAAATCGGAGCCACTTCCCAAGGTTGTGGGACTTCCAGATACAAACACCCAACATGGCTTTGGCAGATCAAACAAATATTTTGATCATTAATAAGCGGGAAGCCATAGTGAATGGTGTTGACATCCCAAATGACAGAAACATCAGTAAAAAGAACACGATAAATAGGAGTAATACCAAGGGTCCAGGGAAGCTTTAGAAAGAGCCTGGAAGGTGAAGGTAACTGTAGTATCCATGGTAACTGGAGCCCTGGGGGCAGTAAACTCCTCACTGGAGAAGTGGCTCCAACAGATACCTAGAGAAACATCAGACACATCAGTCTAGAAATGTGCAGTTCTAGGGACAGTTAAGATACTTTAAAGAATCCTTAAGGTCCCAGGCTTCTGGTAGAGGACCCAAGCTTGAGATGGAGCCCCCCCACCCCATCCACGAGTACGAGGTGTGGGTGATACAGTGGTTTTTAGATATACATACAAAATACAAATGTATTTATTTTACTGAAGCAGATCTATAAACTTTAAAGATGCTGTGTCAGAATTAGAACAATTTAGAAGGAATGGCAGGGGGCGGTACTTCCCCAATACTGCAGTGGATAATAGGAAAAAAGTAATGATAGGAAAATATTTTATGTAGCTTAAGCATAAATTTGCATATCTTTAAAGTCATTTAAAAAAAAAAAACTTAAGAAAATTGTCTAGCTAATTGTCTAATAACTCTTTGATAACTTAGTAGTACCTGAACAATCCCTGGTAACTTTGTAACTGTCATTGTCAAGGAACTAAAGCTCTGTTGTTCTAAATATAGTTATAGATAAAATATTTCCTCCACTCTTTATATTAAAACAAGAAATGTCTTAGTAAACAAGACTTGGGCAATAAATTATATAACAATGACTCCAGTTGTAAGGGGA